GCTATACAATGAAGCTGCAAAGACCTAAATTTATTAACCGTTTTTAGTTCAGTACAAAGTACTCATAATGTCATCAGCACAAGGATTCAGATTTCAAACTTCTTTCTTTAAATCTCAAATGAGGTTTCTTGTTCAAAAACCACTCCAACACTTGTCTCCATGTCTTGTGGCACTTAAATGACCTGATTTTTGTACTTCATACTTCTGGAAAATCAGGATGCTTATTTGCTTTCATAAGTAACAATACAGATGTCCATTCCCTCACTTCTATGCAGAGGCTCTCCTTTGTGTATGAGGAACACTGGGGACTGAGATTACAAGACTACTGTTAATCCTGCTCGATATTAGGCAAGCCATTTCTCCCCCCAGAAGCATTATTACTTTGGCAATAAGTGGATTGCAAAAGTGGACTTAGTATCAGCCCCTTGATTACTCTGCAGATGTTTTAAATTTACTGCTACCCAGCTTAATATTCCCTAAATTAACTGTTTTCAGTCTTTGCAACAAAGTTTGGCAATTAGAAAACAGCATATAATTACTCTTTTTAATAAAAATAGATATTAGAAGAGAGTGCTTTATTAAATAGACTACGACTCAAAAGGAAAACACTTTTAGTCAAAGGATTGAGATGTTCATTATGCAAATTAAACTATTCAAATGTTGTAACAGGAGTACATGTAAGATATGCAGCAAGTCTGGCCTCTAAAATCAATCAAGTACATTCTACCAGGCAACACGCCTCCTTAAGCATTTGCGTAAAACTTATGCACAAAACACAGCACATGCTTAAGTGCTTTGCAGCAATTCCTACCACACTGGTGTGTAATTCACAAAAGCAAACTCACACAATATAGCACTGATACAACAGTAACCTCTGAAGCGTGACACATTTCCTGCACAGGTACAATATTTCATTTTGTTATTTTTGCCATGAGGTTGCAGAGTATCACAAACCCCACAAGAAACAATTACCTATACTAACAGTGCTTGGGAACTTCGTTCCCTCGTAACCTCAGTTAAGGGACAAAGAAACAAAATACATAGCTGCTGTTTCAAAAGCAAATAAAGATGGGAGAAAAAACATAAGGACAAATTGCCGCTGGCAGCCAAGTACCTTTGTTTTGAACAAATCTTCCATCCTTACCTCGGCAAAAGCATCTTTCTTGAGCACTGACTCCACCCTAAATAGAAAAGGCTGGTGTTTGACTTGACCCTTTATCAACACAAAATTATACATACAGAGCACTGTACTCTTGAGCCTATTAACCAATTAGTTAAAACATGATTTTCATACATCCACTTTCATGACGAACTGAGGTGCTTCCTGACGCAAGGAATCTATTTAACATAAGTGCAAACCAGTTTTTTCAGCTCAACAACTACATGCTGAGCAAATGTGTCTACCACAGTTCTCAACTGTCTGCCACCACAGAAGGAACTAGAGGAAAAGGTTGTACCTCTTCTATTTCCTCTTCCCAACTCATATGTCTCTCCACCTAGGTGAGAGAGGATAAACTGAACTACAAAGTTAAGTTGCCATTTCTAATCAGAGGTGAAGTTAATTTGAAAATCGAACCACTTAACTGGTGTAGCACCCCTCATGTATCACTTCTCCATCCTTTCTTAATTCAAGGGATTGCCAGAACTCCTTCTATTGCAAAAAATCATTCAGCTCAATTGACCTCGGCACTCCCATGTCTTCACTTTTTCATCAGCAATCCTGAGGGCCTTGATGCTCTGCACTCCTTTAATTGCTTCTCTGAAGCCATCTGGTTCTACTGGGAATACACATACTGTATCAGGAAATGTCGCAGGGCTATCCAGTTGTTGTTGCAGGGCTATGATCTTGCCAGGATCACAGAGACATGGTGGGAGGACTCGCTTGACTGGAGTGCTGCAACGAAAGTATACAAGCTCTTTAGGAAAGAGAGGCCAGGAAGACAAGGTGAAGTGGTGGAGTTGCCATTGTCATGAGAACACAACTGGAATGCATGGAGGTCTGCCTCGAGATGGACAACAAGCCAACTGAGAGCTTATGGGTAAGAACTAAAGAGCTGACAAGTATGGGTGACATTATCGGGAGTGTTGGCTATAGGCCATCTGGCCAGGAAGAAGTGGATGACGCCTTCGACAGACAGCTAGGAGCAGCTTCATGTTCACAAGCCCTGGTCCTCAACATCTACTGGAGGGACAGGCGGTTCCTCAAAAGCATCAATGACAACTTCCTGACCCAAGTGATAGAGGAATCAATGAGAAGTGCTCTGCTGGACCTCATACTCACCACCAACAAGCGACTTGTTGGGGACGTCAGGGTCAAAAGCAACCTCGGCTCCTATGACCATGAGATATTGGAGTTAAGGATCTTGAGATGAGAGATCGGGGCGTACAGAGTGTGGAAGCATGGACAGGTAAGCTACTAGGAATATAGAGACACTGTGCAAGCATGCAGAGATGCAGTTAGGAAAGCCAAAAGCCCACTTATAATTGAATTAGGCCAGAGATTTCAAAGGCAACAAGAAAGGCTTCTGTAAGTACACAGGTGAAAAAAGGAAGGCTAGGAAAAATGTGAGTCCAGTGCAGAACGGGGCAGGGCACTAGTGACCCAGGGCATGGGAAAGGCTGAGGTCCCAAACACCTTCTTCACCTCTGTCTTTACTGGCAAGACTGGCCTTCAGGAATCCCAGGCCCACAGACCAGGAGGAAAGGCTGGAACAAGGAAGATGTGTCCTTGGTTGAAGAGGATCATGTCAGGGAATACCAGAGCAAACTAGACATGCGTAAGTCCATGGACCCTGATGGGATGCACCCACAAGTGTGGAGGAAGTTGGCAGATATCATTATGAGGCCACTCTCAATATTCTTTGAATACTCATGGCAACTCAAAGTGCCCAAAGACTGGAGGAAAGCAAATGCCACTCCTCTCTTCAAAGACGAGGAAGAGGACCCAGGGAACTACGGTACAGTCAGTATCACCTCAATAAGGTGATAGAGCACCATATTGGAAATGATTTCCAGGCACATGAAGGACAAGAAAATCAACAGGAGTAGTCAGCATGGATTCACTGAGGGGAAGTCATGCTTGACCAACCAGATAAATTTCTACAAATTAAATAAATGAATGGCTTGGTAAACAAGGGGAGAGCAGTGGATATAGTCTACCTTGACTTCAGGAAGGCTTCTAACACTATCTTGGATGAGCAGACAGTGAGGTGGATTGCAAACTGGCTGAGTAGCCAGTCCCAGAGAGTGGTGATCAGTGGAACAAAGTCTAGTTGGAGGCCAGTAACTAGTAGTGTAGCTCAGGGGTCAATACTGGGTCAAATAATGTTCAAAATCCTGGAGCATCTCTCATGAGGAAAGGTTGAGAGAGCCTGGGTTGTTTAGCCTGGAGAAGGAAAGGCTCAGGGTGGTAATCTTACCCATGTGTACAAATACCTGAAGGGAGGGTGAAAGATGGAGCCAGATTCTTTTCAGTGGTGCGCAGTGACAGGACCAGAGACAACAGGCACCAACTTAAACACAGGAGAGTCCCTCTGAACACCAGGAAACACTTCCGTACTGTGAGAGTGACTAAGCACTGGCACAGGTTGTGCAGGGAGGTTGTGCAGTCTCTGTCCTTGGAGACACTTAAAAACCATCTGGACATGGTCCTGGGCAACCAGGTCTAGGTGAACCTGCTTGAGCAGGGGGGTTGGACCAGGTGACCTCCAAAGGTCCCTTCCAACCTCAATCATTATGTGATTCCGTGATATGTTGAAATTTGCTTAAAAGAGCAAAGACACTCCACTGTATTTCCTCTCTTTTTATTATTCAGATTTCTTCCAAAAATAGCATAACAATGTACTTTCAAATCAAATTTGATGCAAGAAATCTAACAAAACTAGTTCTGACGCACACAAATTCCAATGAAACATTTCAGCACTTCTCAAGTGTCAGCATTTTTCAGCTAGTTTCATGAGTACTAATTCTAGCAGACAAGAAAGAGTCTTGTTTTAATTTCAGCAGCAGAACTGACTGTGATTCTACTGCTGTGGTGAAGGTTATAGGTGTTCTTCTATACAATAAAAAAGAATAAAAGGGAGTCATGGAGGAAAGAGTATGATCTAATTATAGAGGGAAGGCAATACAACTACAAATTCAAATAATTTGAATGCTTAACTCTGTTAACAGAAATGTTCTTTCCTAGGATTATTATAACTTTTCAAAATACTCCTGTACCATCAACATTTAATCGTTTCATCTCTATGTAAACTATACTAGCCTACAGCAGCAAACAGCTACTGTTAGCCCAAGAAAGGAGAGAAAAAACATTAAGTACTCACACCCCCTCAGTACTGGGTGGCTACAAGCCCATGGGAAGCAGAGCAAACACCATGTCAGAAATCCATATGCCAGCTTTTAGAGACTGGCAAGCAGTTAAGATGGTAGTTAGGAACTGTTCTGCCTATTGACATCATTAGATTACATTCCCAAACAAAATATTTAGCTCTAATTTGAGGACAGTTATCCACAGGTGTTGGGGTGTGCACACACATATACATCTCTCCCTCCCAGAGTGAACTTCTAGTATCCTCAAATGTTACACAGGCTTCCCTTTTAGATCGTGATCCAGTACGTGACCATGTTCCCAATGCCTTAAGGACACTGCAGTGAAGTCCAAATCACCAATAGTTCATCCTTCTGCCGAGCCTATTTGGAATTTTATGAAACAAGTACAAAACACATCCTAAGATCTGTCTAATAAGTTTCAGGAGACATTAAAACTACCAAAAGTCAGGGGAGTCTTTAATACAATAGAAAATGTTCAATAATCCAAGTTCAGCAGCTGTCACTGATTACTGTGTAGTTGTATTTGGGAAAACAATGTAAAGATTTAAAACTTTACAAATTCAGTTCTTTCAGAGCAGTTTTGTACAGCGCAAACTAGTTTAATCTTAAAGCACCATGAAGTGACACTATATATCAGCAAGCACAAAAAACAAGAACATCATGGGACCTTCCCATGAATACCACTAAGGTAGATTTACACTGCAGGCTTGAGCACAGCAGAGAGGTACTCAGACTGACTCGGGTATTATTTGCCACTTAGCTCTGCATGCATTGTAGACATACCCTGTATGTCTGAATACTGAGCTCTGCAGTACAATATTTAGGCCCTCATTCTACACTACCAAAGACAACAGTCATTTTTCCATCAACTTCAGAAAGTGCAGGGTCAGGCTTGTAATCACAAACATACTTCTGCTATTAAAACATTTGTTTCTAACATAAAGTTGTGTCAAGTTCAAACATGAGTTTTGAGAGCATGCAGACTGCTTACAAATGCTTAAAAAGACTGGTTCAGAATCTTTCTTATATATACACACACAAGTCCATCTGTCACAGACAGGCAATGTAACTCAGAATCATGAGCTTGCTCTAGTTTTATGTAGTGTCCTGCACACTTCTGATAATTAAAAAATAAAAAATAAAAAAATAGTTGCCACAATGGATTTCTAACCATTCCAACTTGCACATGGATATGATCTCTTCTTGCTGCATCTATTACTTGAAGTTTCACAGTTGCTTCTCAAATGCAAATACCAAGTAAATACCTAAAAAAGAAAATGGAGTATTTAAAGTTTCAGCCTTCTCTGCCACTCGATTAAGTTTTCAAAATGTAAACAGGTTGATACTCTGCTCAAACAACTTGTTAGCAGCTTACTGAAGTTATAAAAACTGCTCTGGTTTCCCAATGAGTAACTTCAGCATTCAATTCCAGCATGGTTTTAGATATGTTTTCACAATAGAGATAAGAATACACAAAAGCAAAATATTTTAAATACCATTGATACAGTTAATGCAACACTAACTTCAGTTAACAGTATCACTGTTAAGACTCCTCCTTACACACAGTAATGGACCATTAGGGGTGAAATTACCAACTTCATTTTTAATTAAAAAGTGAATAAATTCACGGTACAAAATTATTGATTTTGCTCTTTCAAGATATCACTGACAAAGAAGAAATATTTACAAACGCTAGATGGCATTTGCTAAACTCCAGAACAGTATGATTCTAGAAATGCATACTTATACAGTCCACACCAGCACCCCTGGAAAATACTTCCTTGGCATATACTCAATGGCAGCTATGTCAGAAATTCTGTGCTTCATACCAGACAGGTAAGTTAAACCAGTTTCATGAGACCATGACTCTAATTAAATATTTATGGATTTCCACTTGAACTCAGCTTTTGTTTTAACGGATGAGGTGTCATAGCTACACTGCAAATCTTTCAAGACAAGCCTCAGCAATAAAGCAAAGTGAAGTTTCACGTAACAAGCAAGCTGGGCTTATATCCTAACTATCAGAACCCCTGTACTCCAAATCACTCTGAAAAAAAAGAGACTATTTACAAAATACAGTCATCACCGAACTTTTAAAGGTATAAAAAGACCCTCTCAGTTAGATTACTAGTTTACATAATACTCTTACATTGCTGGAATTAATGTCTACTTTATGATTCATACCTTTAAAAAATAGGTAACAATTTAAGAAAGCACACACCCTAACTAAAGATTTTTTCATTCATTAATTGAACAGCATTTTTTTGTTTGTTTTTAAACCACTAATGCAACCAGTATAATGGTCTGCAAAAATGCAAATGCTGGTTGGCTGCAGTTACACAGAAGTTGGTAATAATCTCTCTAGGAATCAATTTTATCCTTGGAATTCTCAGTTCCTTGTATCTTGAGTTTTATTAAACTCGACATTGGAAAACAACATAAAAAGTTTACCACAGCACATGTTTACAAAATTTCAAAACATATTTAACAATAGTGTATCCTTTTTGGTGTCTGAGGCACTGACTTTTTTTTTCCTCCCTTTATAAAATGTTCAAATACCTCTTCATCATCCATGTTTTAACTGCTTCTTCCTGAAACATATATCACTACGAGCAAAGAGTAAAGCTTCAGTCTCTGTGTTCCCAAAACAGATCTGTCCCAAATGTTTGTTTTCTAGTTGACTGGTAACAGTACAACATCCCAGTGTACCAAATAGAAGTACAGTATTTAATCTTTTCATACCAGCAAAATAATCCTTTCAGACTGGCATTCTCTTTTCATACATCCTAAATAGGGTTTCCCTAAAATATTTTTAGCCCAAAGGTTTCTGTGCTAGAAGAAACTTAAATAAAGCAAATTTTCAAACTATTTCCCTCCCAATTTCTTGAGATGTGAGCACTACATAATCTATACACAGGCATTTGAATAACACAATAACAAAATCTGTTATATTTAAAATTTGGATTTTCTACCATAAGCAACAGACTATTTTACACACTTTACACAGCAGTCATTCAGTTAATATTGAGTTTTCAAAACAATACTTACTTGTTGCTTCCCATTCAGATTTACTCAAGGTTCCCTAGAAGGAGGAGAAAAAAAAAACACAACAAAAAAACAGTTTCAACAAAAAATGAGGAAACAATAAAAGACCAATTTAACTCAGGATTATCGATCTTTCACAGATCAATTTCTTATCACTCACATTGCCTGGCTATTTAGAGACAAGAAGAACACTACTGTAGACCACAGATACTCGTAACTCCAGTAACTAGGACAGTAGGGAATTGGAACACCCCAGATAACAGAAGACATCTAAACTACAGAGGTATAGAAGAACAGGTCAACAGTTTGCTGGGCTGGATGCCTCTGCAATGCAGAGCACACTGGGTCCATTATCACATATCAGTGTGACCTGACCTGGCTCAAGCTGCTCTCCAGCCCAAGATGCCCAACACTTGTGCAGAAGGCAAGAAGAGGCCCTGTATCACAGTGCTGCCACCCTCCCTGGCCTCCTGCCTCCACCTAACACCTCCCTGCAGCCCACAAAAACTCTATTTGCAGAAGACAAACTCCCAACCCAGCTCACACATAGTGAAAAAAAAAGCCTGCCTTGCAGCATAGGAAATCTACTCCTAGCTCAGCCTTTTGGATGAAAGCAGGGCAAGTGCACAAGTAAAGCTGCGGCCAAGGGTTATCAGGCACTGGAATGGGCTATCTAGGGAAGTGGTTGAGCCACCATCCCTGGAGGTATTTAAAAGACAAGTAGATGGGGTGCTCAGAGAACAGCTGAATAGCTATCCTGGCTAGAGAGGGAGAGGCAACAGCCAAATGGCAGTCCCTGGCGAAAATGACAGCAGACATTGCCTGTCCTCCTGCTTGCTTCCCAGGAAAGGCAGCTGTGCAGGCTCCTGTCCATCATGCACCCAACTCTGAGACCAATACAGAAGAATGAAAAGCTGGGAGAGGACCAGCTGCAGACGACTCTAACATTGTCACGTACTGCTAGGACAGTGGAAAAAAGAAAAATGCTTTATGGAAACACGAGAATGACAGCGAGCTCAGAAAGGTAGCGTGTGTATTAGAGGACAGGACTAGAAGCAGAAAAAATGTGTTTAATTGGACCACTGATCTAAAATCTAATATAACCTCCATTAAAGATGATTCAGTATTCTTCTATTTCTGAAGTCATAAACCAAGCTGCCAAAACAGGAGATACAGAGAAAAAAATATGTGACAAAATAGCAGACTGTTCTGTACAACGTAAGATTACAATCATCAAAAGAAAGTTTATTTTCATTCTGGATTCTGAACAGCAGATTGTATTTAATAAAACTGAGGGCAAAAATATATGGATTTAGTTTTATGCACATAGGAATAATCTAACTCTAGCTCTGTTAAAAAAAATAATAACGAAGGCACAGAAGATTTTTAAAAAATAGGATTTACAGAACTTTAATAAAATCGGTTGAGAAGGGAGCTGGACTTCTTCACCCAAAAAGACAACAAAAAAACAATGTTTAATATTTCAAATGCCTACATTATTATGAAGAAAATTTTAAAATTTCCTGTCAGAGGACTAAAAGAAGAAAACTGAAGCTTTAAATCAGTAGAAGAAATATAAGAAAATTCTTCAATTTAAGAAGAGTTATGTTAGAACAGGAAGATGGCAAAATATCCTTTCCCTTTTCCATTGTTGCAAATTTCTTACTAGCTATCACATTAAGTGAATTTGATTCTTTGAGTATGGGGTATAGATTAGATGAACTCTTCAGCCCTGAAGCTCTACTATTTTTCACATGCACAGAGACATTCATACCAATTTCAGTACAGCTGCAATGAAGAAGGCATCACGTCTGAAAGATCATGACCTCAATTTTAGACACCATTCGCTCTCGTGAAGTAAGAAGGAACGTACCAATGGTAACTTTGCCTTGCTATCCTTGATGAACTGTTTTGCATGCTCATAATCTTCAGGTTTATCAGAAACCAGCCTGGAATCACCAAACGTCGAATATGGCTGAAGAACATAGAAAAAATAATTTAAAATATTAATTGCTTAGTAAGATACATTAATCACATCAGTCAAGGGTTTGTCACAACATAGCCCAGAACAGAGGTCAGTAATTATTAAGAGGATCTTAAATTTAGATCTCTTCTTTATAGCACCTACAAGATCAGGTCTGACATTCCCTACTTCCCAAAAAAATCCAACACTTGGTATTTATAAATTAACTGTTATCCTTATGTCTCCAAAACAGTGGAAACAGAGTAACTATAAAAATTATTCCCTGTGTAGAGCTCATTGTGTTACCCAGACAACAGCCTCTTTTAGAACAGCAACTGAACAAACCAGCAGCTCCTACTCAGAAGTACTAAGAAATGAGCAACTGTAAGATTTCAAGCAGAACACTTAAAATGCTTCAATAGCACACAGGAGCTGTTAACAGAAGTATACAACCAATTCTTCAAAACTCATATATACTTATTAAGGATCCCAGTTACTGCAAAATGGTCTATACTTAACAATGCAGTCCTCCACTGTAATTGGCCATTAATTTAAGACAACTCTCACTTTTCTACGAATGAAGCTGATATGTCAGCGGGGTCACCATGCTACTGGCAATATGAACCCATACACTGTCTCTTTCAGAGTCAACAAGGACAGTCACGTCCACTTGCAGCCCACGTGACTCAGTTTAATAAGCCTCGAGATACTTGACTTGATAGTTACATGCTGAAAAATTCTACTGTTTGAGGGAAGCGGGAAGCACAGAGAACTGTGAGTAAAACCAAAGCCTCGGAGATGGCATTGAAAAGCTTCTCTGAAGTTACTAAAGTAATCCAGGATAAGAACTTGAGGATAAAAAAACAGAAACACTGTTCAAAAACATAAGCTCAGTTAAAAGTTAAGTAGCTTCTTTTTTTTTTCCCTAGAAACACAGCCTGTCCTTTTACTCCTACAAAGATTACTTTCTGTCTCTTCAATCGATACTCCTTGCACAAGGATCCTGCTTTCAGTCTCTCTCTGCTGAGGAAAAATGGATTACAGCTACCACTACCTGACACAAGGCATGATTCTTGTGCTTCTGCTTATTACTTATTAAAAACAAAAACTTGCCTCGAAATTGAAATTGTATCTATGAAATTGAATCGCTCTACTGGGTGCTGGTGCCCAGGTGATGGTAGCAGGGGGCTGCAGGGCAGCCTCTGTGAGGAGAGGCCAGAGCTGTCCCATGTTGGACGCAGCCAGTTCCACCAGCTCAAAGAAAGCCACCACAGGGCACAGCTGAGTGCCTCAGACATGAGTCGGGCACCTCTGTGAAAACATATTCAAGAAAGAAAAAAAAAAAACCTGCGCAACAGCTGTGAGAGAGGAGTGAGGAAAAATGTGAAATTACTCTACAGACACCAAGGCCAGAGGAGGTTGAGGAGGTGCTCCAGGAACCAAAGAAGAGATTTCCTTGCAGCCCCTGCAGAAGACCATGGTGATGCAGGTTGTCCCTCAGCAGCCCATGAAGGTCCACTGTGGAGGAGCTATCCACACTGCAGCTCAGGGAGGACGCCACACTACAGCAGGCAGACATGCCCTGAAGGAAGCTGCAGCCTGCAGAGAGCCCAGGCAGAAGCAAGCTCCTGACAGGAGCCAGGGTCCACGGAGAAGTGCTCAACCAGGAGCAGATTTTCTGGCAGGAACTGCAACCCCATGAGGAACCAACCCATGCTGGAGCAGTCTGTTCCTGAAGGACTGTACCCCACCCATGGAAGGGTCGCACGCTGGAACAGTCTGTGAAGGACTATCGCATGGGAGAGACCCACGCTGGAGAACGGGAAGAGTATGAGGAGGGAGGAAGGGCAGAGACAAAGTGGTAGGGACTGACTACGACCCCCATTCCCTAACCTCCTGCACTGTGGGGAGAGGATGTGGAAAGGTCAGGAGTGAAGCAGTGATGTTGAGCCTGGGAACAAGGAGTGGGTGGGGTGAAGGTGTTTTTAGTTTTGTCTGTTTCTCACCATACTACTCTTTTTCTTTTTTCTTATTTTTGTAATAAGTTTAAGTAATCTTCTGCAAGATTAATTAATCTTGGAGATTGTTTTGCCTGTGATATTAATTGCTAAGCAATCTCCCTGTGTTTATCTTGACTCACAAGTTTTTTTCTTATTTTCTCCTCCCATCCTGTTGGGAAAAGGGAGTGAGAGAGTAGGTTGGCAGGTGTCTGGCAGCCAGTCAAGGTCAGCCCACCACAGTTGCACTTTCAGCCACAGGAGTTTAGCTCTTCTATTGGTAGCCCTTAATTAACTGCACAATGTTCACAACAGGAATTGCAATTATTGCACAAACAATTAACAAGATGTAAAATACTATTTAAATGAAACAAGTTAAGTCCACATTTACCTCCAAGGCCTGCATTCTCCTTAACAGCATTTTATGCTCCTCGTTCTTGATTTTTTCTTCATAGAATTCCCGAAATGTCATTTTGTAGACCAGTTTCATACCATGCTTCTTCGCCATTCTGTAAAAATAATACACCTAATTAGGGAAGCTGCAAAATTGCTGCAGTTTTTCAAATGAACAATTTTAAGCCACCACAGTGACATCTTATGGTATTCACTGGGATTACGCTCTTTCTAGAATTCTTTTAGCTAAAGACATGTAGATGAAAAAAACTGCCCTGCCACCACAAACTCTACTTTTTTGAATTAAGACAACAAATCTTTACACAGAAGTCATCACAAACATTTCAACAGAAAAATGTCTCTTTTCCTGACATACAGAAGTCAGTAAGTTCCATCTGAACTTCCACATATATTATGCTATTTTCCCTGCAGTATCGCCACGCTGACACATCAGCTATTACGAATGTATTTAGAGAACCTCCTTCTATTAGATTTAGTGCCTGCACCACAATTATATGTGGACACTGTGGTCATATAACACTGACGTTACAGGTGCTAGTGACAGATGCTGGCATTTTTCAGAGAACTACAAATGAAGTTTGTGCAAAAATGCAGGTTTGAAGGGAAAGCTTAATATTGTTCAACAACCACGCTGAGCTTGAATGGCAGAAAAAAACTCCAACACGGGAACATTTGTCTGTACCTCAGGAGATATGCTGGGAAAGGCAAATATGAATTCACACAGAGGTTACAGCAAAATGTACACTCACAGATGAAGAAGATTTAGAGGAAGAAAAAATAAGTCACAGGAAAAATCCTACAACATCCAAAGAAAGTTGAAGAAGACAAGAGCCAACCTGATGATGAGAATATATGAGAGGGCTTGCTGAAGGACTACAGAAAAGTAGAATTAAACCCTCCAAAAAGTTAAGATTAAAGAAGAAAAAGTTGATAGCACTAAAGGTTTGCTGACAAATCCAACATATCAGATACAGACATTCTCATGTGAGACCTAGTTTACATCTTCATAGCTTCTGACCAGAGCACCTTCAATTGAGTGCAATGGACAGGTTATAGTTGTGGAACATGGAAATGCAAGAAACCTCTTCATTTGGAGCAAAGTGAAATATATAGTAAGAAAGCCAAAATATAATTTTTGTAAGTATTATGCAATAATGCACAAGCTAAACAAATATTTATTATGCTTCACAGCTTTCATTGTATAATGAATTAAAAACTTAACTTACTCCTCCAGTAATGGAAAGTAAACCAAGAACTCAGGGACATCGACCACTTCTTCCAAATGGAAATCATACTTGCAACCAAACAACGGATATTCTCCCTTCTTTTCAAATTTTACACTGTACACCTCATTCCCAAATGAATTTGTTTCTGAAGCTTCAAGTCGCTTTCTACAAACAAGATATAAACAGATATTAATTGACCAGTTTTATATTTAACAGGCAGAAAAAACTATGTGTAAGAGCCTAAAAGTGTTTCTCCCAGTACGTCAGCATTCAGTGATCTCTCTAGTTTCTCACTTCCCTTATGTAACAAGGCAATGAAACAATTAAATTAAGACAAGCAGCATACCAGGTTTTAACAGTTTATCATTGCTATACAATATACCAAGGACTAGACTGACCTAGAAAGTTAACCATTAGCCCAAACAAAGTCTACATGGGCAAGTCGGGCCTCTTGAAAAAACCAAAGCAAAACCCAGGCTGTGGCTATTTTGCCACTATTTAAGTTGCTACAGAGGGTTTATGCATGAAGATCTATACTCTATACCAAAAGAGCCATGGGTGCAAGAGAAAAGGATTAGTACAGTTTTATCCCTTTAAGACAAGTTCATGAGTGAGATTTTCCTGACTAGAAACCAAAACTGTTACAAAAAGCTTGCTTTTGTTTGCACAAATGTATCAGAGCACTGTAAGATCAACTATCACTTAACAATGCTTCACAGACTTTTGAAAGACTAATAGAATATAGAAGTACTTACACAAGTTCAAAGCTATTTGGAGTTGTGCCGATGAAATATCCTCCAGGAGAGAGGTTCCCACAAGCATTTTTAAGCATCATGTCAGCCTGCTCATATGTCTCAAATGAGTAATGGTAAACAAACTGACAGCTGCAAATGTCAAAGCGCATATCTGGATCATTGTATTTGGAAGATAAGAGCTCCTGAAATAGATTTAAAAGAAAAAAAATTGTAACAAAAGCTACAGTAACAGGTATGATTCACTTAAATCTTCCAACAAATAAGCTACTCCCGTAATTCTTTTGAAGTTTTTCCTTTCAGCTCTCACTCCTTCACAAATTCAACAAGAACAAGATGAAAAAGGTAAGAGCAAGAAAAAGTCCTCTGCTACACAACATTTGGGAACAACAAGAATACAGACACATGTCCCCAAACTCTTTTCATGCTGTCAAGTAACACAACTACACTCGAAAAGCCAAAACCCAAGGTTAGTTACCTAATAGTTTCCAGAGACATTTTACTGCTGAGAGTTTATAACCAGTCAACATTTAGCTGGAAACAATTATTATAATTAAATGAATTTTCAGTTTACTAAGTCTCTGTAATGAGAACTGACTCATTACACATCTAATTAAGAGAAGGAGGGGTTGTTTTAAATACAGCAATTTGCCTGCCCACCAAGTTGTATTTGTCTGTATTCTCACACATGTACATACACATGTACCAACACACTCCTCGCCACCCCAGACCAAGTAAACAGTAACTCTGAAGAACTTGGAGCTCTTGGAATTTGTCAGGTTAAAGCTTGTCCCAATCTAACCCTGCACCATCAGTTCTCTCACTCTTCTTGATCAGGCTTCTTTTATACAATACTAATAGCCATCATAAATAACACAGGAGCACAAAAGTTCTCCCCAAGGCCCATGATATCTATTCCACACTTAAAATATTTCGTACTTCACCCATTGCCCCTTGTCCTATCATTGGTTGTCACTGAGAAGAGCCTGGTTCCATCCTCGTGACACTCACCCTTTATATATTTATAAATATTAATGAGGTCTCCCCTCAGTCTCCTCTTCTCCAAGCTAAAGAGACCCAGCTCCCTCAGCCTTTCCTCATAAGGGAGATGCTCCACTCCCTTCATCATCTTTGTGGCTCTGTGCTGGACTCTCTCAAGCAGTTCCCTGTCCCTCTTGAACTGTGGGGCCCAGAACTGGACACAATACTCCAGATGCGGCCTCACCAGGGCAGAGTAGAGGGGGAGGAGAACCTCTCTCGACCTACTAACCACACCCCTTCTAATGCACCCCAGGATGCCATTGGCCTTCCTGGCCACAAGGGCACAGTGCTGGCTCATGGTCATCCTGCTGTCCACCAGGACTCCCAGATCCCTTTCCCCTTCATTGCTCTCTAATAGATTATTCCCCAACTTATACTGGAACCTGGGGTTGTTCCTGCCCAGATGCAACACCCTATATTTGCCCTTATTATATTTCATTAAATTCCTCCCCCCCTGCCCCCGCAACTCTCCAGCCTGTCCAGGTCTCGCTGGATGGCAGCACAGCCTTCTGGTGTGTCAGCCACTCCTCCCAGCTTGGTATCATCAGCAAACTTGCTGACAGTGCACTCTGTTCCCTCATCCAGGTCATTGATGAATATATTGAATAGTACTGGTCACAGTACTGACCCTTGAGGGACTCCACTAGATACCGGCCTCTAACTAGACTTTGCCCCATTGACCACAACTCTCTGGCTTCTTCCCACCAGTCAGTTCACAGTCCCTCTCACTACCTGATCATCCAGTCCACACTTCCTCAGACTTCCCATCCACTCCAAGTCTCTACTAGTTCATGCCACACGCTATCAACATCTGTATGTGGCAAGACAAAAATGGGCACTTCACACACCCGTAGCAATTTTATTTGTTAATTTACATCCCCTCCACATTTTATGAAAGAGAGAAATGGAAAACTGAGAAACAGAGGTGGTCATGACTGAAGAAGCTGTTACAAGATTTTGCATTATATACAATATAGATGATAGAGATACCAAGTCAGGGAGATGAACTTTTGTGTGCACAGACAGACAGAACAGAGCGTGGAACAGAAAATACACGTGCATATAAGACTGAGCTGTAATAGCAATGTGAAAACATCCCTAGCCAAGGCTCTCTCCTTTTTACCCTGACTGTAATTTTGAGCTGAGAGAGAAACTTGCAGCAGACTGTGCTCCTCAGAAGGAATCATAGAATCACTTGTTGGAAAAGACCACCGAGTCCAACTGTACCTGTCCACTACTAAAGCATATCTCTGAGCACCTCATCTACCCTCTTTTAAAAACCTTCAGGGAAGGTGACTCAACCACTTCCCTAGGTAGCTGGCTCCAGTGCCTGATAACTCTTTCAGGGAAGAAATTTTTCCTGATATCCAATCTGAACCTGGGGCAACTTGAGGCATTTACTCTTGTCCTAGAAGGAGAGGCAACCAAGAGTTCAAGCCAGGAAACCTTCCTACAAGGCTGAGCAGAACAGGTTCACCCTTTCCCCAGATATGCTGGAACCAGGTAGGCTCTGTCCCTCAGCCTGCATCAGCAGAGCACTCTCAGCCTACCTGTCCAGGAAGCAAAAGCAGTGTTGGTTACAAGACCAGGACGTCAGCAAATGTGATGCCTATCTACAAGAAGGGCCATAAGGAGGATCCAGGAAACCACAGGCCTGTCAGTCTGACCTTGGTGCCAGTGAGCATCATGGAGCAGATCATCTTGACTGTCATCATGCAGCACATACAGGACAACCAGGCGATCAGGCCCAGTCAGCACGGGTTTATGAAAAACAGGCCCTGCTTGACTAATCTGATCTCATTCTATGACAATGTGACCCGCTTAGTCAATGAGAGAAAGACTGTGGATGTTGTCTACCTAGACTTTGGCAAAGTCTTTGACACCATTTCCCACAGCATTCTTCCGCAGAAACTGGCTGCTCATGGCTTGGACACACTCTTTGCTGAGTGGAAAACTGGATGGATGGACAGGTCCAAAGAGTTGTGGTGAATGGAGGTCAATTCAGTTGGCGGCGCATCACAAGTGATGTTCCCCCCAGGGCTCAGTTTTGGGGCCAGCTCTATTTAATATCCTTATCAATGATCTGGATGAGGGGATCGAGTATGGGGATTAGCAGAATTGCTGCCCTAGACTTCCAGAGGACAGACTTTGCCCTGCTTAGGAGCCTGGTTGACAGAGTCCCCTGGGAGACAGTCTTGAAGGGCAAAGGAGTCCTGGAAGGCTGGACATTCCTCAAGAAGGAAATCTTAAATGCACAGGAGCAGGCTGTCTCCATGTGCCTTAAGATGAGCTGGCACGGAAGATCAGCTTGGCTGAACAAAGAGATTTGTCTGGAACTCAGGATAAAAAAGAGTTTATGACCTTTGGAAGAAAGGGCAGGCTACTCAGGAGGACTACAAGGATGTCATGAGGGTAGGCAGGGAGAAAATTAGAATGACTAAAGCCCAACTAGAACTTAATTTGGCTACTGTTTTAAAAGACAACAAAAAATGTTTCTATAAATATGTTAGCAACAAAAGGAGGGCTAAGGAGAATCTCCATCCTTTCCTTTGGTGGGGAAACATAGTGAAAAAGGATGAAGAAAAGGCTGAGGTACTTAATGCCTTCTTTGCCTCAGTCTTTAATAGTAGGACCAGTTGTTGTCAGCCCCCTGAGCTGGAAGACAGGGATGGGGTGCAGAATGAAGCCCCCATAATCCAAGGGGAAATGGTTAGCAACCTGCTACACCACTTAGATATACACAAGTCTATGGGGCCTGATAGGATCCACCCAGGGGTACTGAGGGAACTGGCCAAAGCGCTCACCAAGCCACTTTCCAGGACTAAGGGAGTGATTGTCCCCCTGTACTCTGCATTGGTGAGGCTGCACCTCAAATACTGTGTTCAGTTTTGGGCCCCTCATTGCAAGAAAGACATTGAGGTGCTGGGTGTGCCCAAAGAAGGGCAACAAAGCTGGTGAAGGGTCTAGAGAACAAGTCTTATGAGGAGCAGCAGAGGCAACTGGGGTTGTTTAGCCTGGAGAAAAGGAGGCTGAGGGGAGACCTCATTGCTCTCTACAACTACCTGGAAAGAGGTTGTAGTGAGGTGGATGTCAGTCTCTTCTCCCAGGTAGGAAGTGATAGGACAAGAAGAAATGGCCTTAAGTTGCACCAGGGAAAGTTTAGATTTCTTCACTGGAAGTGTTGTCAAGCATTGGAACAGGTTGCCCAGCGAAGTGGTTGAGTATAAATACCATCCCTGAAGGTATTTAAAAGACATGCACATGTGGCGCTTAGGTGTGGCACTTAGGGACATGCCTAAAACACGTGAAAGACAACACAGTTATTGGTTCCAGCCAGCATGGGTTCATGAGAGGAAAGTGCTGGTTCACAAATCTAATTACCTTCTATGATGAGGTTACCCACCTAGTTCTACAAGGGAAGCCAGTCAATGTAATCTTTTTGGACTTCAGTAAAGCCTTTGACATCATGTCCCACAGGATCCTCCTGGATAAAATGTCCAGCTAACAGCTGAATTAGCACATACTGCTATGGGTGAGCAACTCACTGACAGGTCGGGCTCAAAGGGTTCTAGTCAATGAGGTTACATTGGGCTGGTGACCAATTACTAGTGGAGTCCCACAGGGATCCATTCTGGGGCCGGTGCTCTTTAATGTCTTCAACAATGACTTGGATACAGAGCTTGAAGGACTGCTAACAAAGCTTGCTGATGACACCAAACTGGGAGGAGCTGTGGACACTCTCGAGGGCAGAGAGGCCCTGCGGAGAGATCTAGATAAATTAGAGAGCTGGGCAATCACCAACTGTATGAATTTTAACAAGAGCAAGTGCTGGATTTTGCACCTGGGACAGGGCAACCCTGGACACACATACAGACTGGGGAATGAGAGGCTGGAGAGCAGCCCTG